ACTTTAGTGAGTTTTTTTAATAACAAACTGAAATGTTTTGTCGAAGACTGAGTGCAGTAGAATGGGAAGTAAACTGAGTATCTGTGGGTGTGTCTACACATGCATATTAATGTGATGCAATAAACTCTGGTGCTTATCACACTGGAGTTTATTGCTCCTGGGCATGCATTTACATTTGGACCCAGGAGTACAGCAGGTTGAGTCGGCAGCTCCAGTTGGCAGGGGGCCTGGGGGATCAGCCTGCCAGCCCAGGACTGCTCCCCCCCCAGCTCAACATGCTGCAGAGGGGCTGGCTGGAGCACGAGGGCACTTCAGCAGGGGGCTAGCCAGCAGGCATCCTCCACATTGAAACACCTCATGCCCCAACCAGCTGGGGCAGCATCTACACATGCGCTGTTAAAAAACTCTGCATCAGGATGGTACTTGTATCTACTTGTATTAGTTTACTCCAACCTAATAGGGGTGCATGTGTAGGTGCATGACATTTACTGGGCAGTTACTTAGTCTACTGCACAGCAAATGTCTCATGAAGACATACCCTGCATGTTTTTAAATATATCCCTAAATTCAAAATGAAGTACTTGTAGGACTGTAAAAGAACAGCATTGTGGAATGCAAGGAAAGAGATATTTAATCAGGACAGTTAGTTCACAGCTTTAACAGGTTGACTTCAGTCATGAGGCTGCTTGCTGGAAAATGATACAGTCATAGCTCTGCATTCTCCTTGCCTTTTGTAATGAAGGAATCCCCAGAAAAAGAGCAGATTTTGCAGTCCCCAAGGCCTGGTCCTGGAATCCTTTCTGACACTCTGCAAGTTATGCAGGTTTGAGCAAGAGGCTTATTGCAGCCTGTCCCTGTACACACTCCATGAGTAAAGTTCTTGCCCCATTGAAGTCAATGAGAATTTGGCCACTGACTTCACTGGTTCCAAGAATTTACCCTGTGCATCCAGATGCATCTAGGTGATCCTGGCAAGTTTTGCAGCCTGTACACATACATGTAAAGAAAAAAAAATCATTTTCCTCTATCTTTATGTAGGTAATAAGATGGTTTTCTGCTTTTTGGTAGTCTGTTCAACTTACATACCTGTGTTGTTGGATTCCTTTCTGCAGTAACAACCCCAGCTTCCATTTATTAGCTTACATTCCTCTTCTGCATTACAAGAGCATGGGTTGCCAACATAGGCAGGATCTAAAAGGTCAGACGGGTAAAGGGAAAGAGATTTAACAAGTGTACCCATGTTTTATGTGTAGAAGGAAAACATTGAATCCCAAACAGTTCCAAGTGACTCACCTGTGCAGTACGTCAGAGAACAGGCTGGTGTTCCATTAAGTTTATATACAAAATATCCACCAGGGCAAGCCTTTATCTGTACGTCGGTTGACCAGTAGCAGCACTTATTTGACCAGTGGGCGCAAGCACTACGAGTGACTATCCCAGCATCGATGGAAGGGTGTGATCCATCTAACCACAGTGGTGCATCAGTGTTGCACCTGTATGTTGGTACACAGGCTTCTGGCATGCGCTCCCCACCTATGCCTATAAATCGATACCAGCCTACTTTGTTACTATCACAGTTGCTTCCAGCCCCATAGGAGGTGCTGCGCCAGTAATTGTCAAGGACATCGTAATTTGAACAAGGGTCAGCACAGATGCGGGATGCATCGGTTTTGAAGCAGTCAGCTCCAGAGTCACAGGATTCTAGAGTGCAGTTCTCTGCTCTGCAGGAATAGCCATCACCAGCAAACCCCTGGGGACAAGAGCAGGAATAGCTGCCATTGTGGTTAGTGCACATTGCTAATGAATGGCAGCGGTTTAAGTTGGGGGTAGAGCATTCATCAATATCTCTACAGCCACCCTCTGAGGAAAGCAGGAACCCACTGGGGCACTGGCAGACGTATGAGCCCAAGGTATTTACACAGGCGCCTGCTGGACACAGGTTCAAACCTGGAAAGGCACATTCATCCACATCGGAACAACTGAAGCCGTTGCCAGCGAACCCATCTTTGCACACGCATTTTCGAAGGCCATCGTTCTCCTCACAGGTGGCATTGCTATGACAGTCTGAGCAGCGAGCTGAAGCTGTTTAAGCACAAATACAGAGAACTGACTTATTTGTGAGCTTCACAAGCTTTGTTCATTTAAACAAACTGTCCAAGGAAATTGGTGCAAGTTCTGTGCCCCTGTTGGGAGCAGTGATTCAACAAAGAAACGTGCAAGTGATAATCAGATGTGAAATAGGTGTGTCAATAAAACTGTCTGTAAAGATAAGCCAAATTCATTCAGTATTTAGGGTGCAGCTATCCTTGGTGGTAGTAGGTATTGCAGGTGCTTATATCACATCTGAATCGCTCTCCTAAAGTGGAATGGTTTTCAAGCGTGGCACCTGGGAAACCTTGCTTTTCCTTGTGTAAATGGCTTTTTGTTCAAACAGTATATTATCTGTGAGTGCAGATTTCCATTTGCATAGACAACATGCCAGGTAAGGAAGACCTGGGATTATTGAGTCCAGAGAAGAGAGGCCTGAGGGGTGAATTCAAGTCCCCACAAAAAAGAGGATGCTGATGAGGTATTTACTGTGTCCACAAGGGACTGGTTTAAACTGCAGTGAAGGAGAAGTGAAGTCAGTAAAGATCTTTCCACTAACTTCAGTGGTGATAAGGTGAGAATATATGGGGTCATGTTTGGAAAGCAGCCTTCAAGCCATGATAAAAAGAATAGCCTAGAAACTAAGAAAACTACAACAAAGAGTACCCAAAATGTTGGGGTCCTGTGGCCCAATCCTGTAGGGTTCTGAGTACTCAAATGCCCACTGATATAAATGAGAGCTAAAGACTGTTCTTCTCTAAGAATTGGACCCTCAGTTTATTCAAAATCAAACTGAACTTCCAGGTGTCCTACGGACATTTCTGTAGACGCTTCAAGTTTGCACTGCTGTAATTCTACTCCCATTGAAGCCAATGGCAAAACTCCAATTTGCTTCACTAAGAGACTTTTTAATGGACTTTAGGATGTGGGATAAGCATGAGTCGGAAGGAAAAAGTAGTATATATACTCTTGACTAATAAGTGCAGAAAGTGAAAGGGTTGGTCAAGTATGAACAAAAGATCAAAACGTATGCTAAGTAGTGTCTTGAACTGGTTTTACTTACATGTTGTTGTTTCTGAAGACACGTAACACTGAAGGCCAGCTAACAGCAGGCTGAGATAAAGACCCTGCATGTTTGGTTTTATTATCTATGGTAGAAAATAAAGAGATGTTAATATTACAGGTTAAATCTTCAATTGATTTAATTTCACTTTGCAACCTGGCTTGCACGCTGACCTACCAGTCCTTGGCTCTGTATTGCAGTAATCAGCTATAAAATTTCTGAGACTCTCCAGCCCCCGAAGGCTATGAGAGGTACAAGTTCTCAGAAAGTCCCAAAATATGGCCATTCTGTACAATGGCCCAGTCCTGCTCCAAATGAGGTGAATGGAAGATTTGAGATGAATTCAAAGAGAGGAGGATTAAGGTTTAGAATTTTTTTTAGGAACTATAATTTTTGATTTCTGTGAGCAATTGAGGAAATCAACGCAAGAAGTTTTGTGAACATAATTGATGTTGATTAATCTAAAATACCAGCTAATTATTTTAACACTTTTTTTTCCTACATATACAGAGTTAATTTTACCTCAGAGTTATCAGTTTTAGCAAATTCTATTTCTACTTACATGTGTAGATCCCCCAATGAACAGTGCAGTAAAGATAAGCTGGGCAAATAGCGGACTTTTCAATTTCCCTGTCCCTTCCCCGCAAACTAACAATTTGGCAAGTTTAACGTGAATTCACAAAATATTTGAGTCACCAAATTTGTATTTTTCACAAAAAAAAAAAAAAAAGATTATTTTTCTCAGAAAATTATGCGTCTGGAGTTGACCCAGAGCCTCTGAAATGGAATGGGATGTTTCCCACTGATAGCACTGGGTCTTAATCGGGTTCTACTCATGTGAAAAAAGGGAAGAGGAGCCACATGATGATTTTAAATTGGCAAATATCCTCATTAACAGGCTTCTAGAATGCCTCAAACTTTTGAAGGATAAATGACTGGTTGTAGCATACACGCACAAATGTACTAAGAATATGAGTATATTACTGCCATTCTTCCTATCTCTTCTCCATAGTTCAGTTTATAATCTCATCAATCTGTCCACCTCTGTTTTAGATATTTACTTGACCCTCATTACCATTGTACCTGAGTGCCTCAGTTTTTAATGCATTTATCCTCCCACCACCCTTTTGCACCTGAAGCATACTTTCCAATCTGAGACAGTTGGCAGAAACCAAGGGACTCACCTGACATGACGGTAGAAGACAGTCATTGTATTTCGCTCAAGTCTTTGGTCAACCAATTTAAAGCCCTGTTCATAAATAATACCTCACTCTTACTCTGGATGCCTCATTCAGAAATCTTAAACTACTTTACGATGTAACTGAAGCATCATTATTTCCGTTTTAGAGGTGGAGAAACCGAGACAGTGAGAGGAAGTCACTTTCCAGTGTCATCCTAGACAAGTTCTCTGTCCAGCAGTCCGCACCCCCTTTGAGTGCAGCACTTCCTTACCTTCCAACCTTGACACTATCCTGTTTTAGATACTTTTATATCAGAAAACAAACAAAATTGTGAACAGTAGAAGTTTTCAGTAACAAAAAAATTGGTAATTTGATGTCATGTTAATTGCAAATCTGATGGGGAAAAAGGAAGAGAAATTTTTATGAGTCTCTGGCTTCTCTGGCAGTGTAATATTTCCTTGATTCTTAGCAACAAACATTTATATTCTTAATATTTTATACCAATGATTCCTAAACACAAAGTCATAAAGAGAAACTACTGGGGCTTGGCTTATGCTATATAAACAATTAACAGTCAGTGGGCTTTTACTTACCTGAAGGTGAAAAAACAAAGCTCTGTGTTCAATCTTATTTCCCCCTTTTATACCTTCTGCGGCGGGAAATTAGACGTCAGATGTTTCATCAGCTATATTTGTAGTGTCATTGCGCACACAAAAAAGAGAAAGCCACTCTCATTTTTCTTCCTCTTTTCCTGATTGTGTGGTTTTCCTGCATTACTAAAAGCCCATAATATGATTGACAGGTTGGATCAGACACTTGAGGAAACAAAAGGTTTATTAATTCTTGCCATGGCCTAGGAGATGCCATAATGCAAGTGAATTATGTAACACTGGCAGATGGTGGTGGTCTTCCCAGGGACAGCAGCAAGGCCTTGTCAGGCTGAGCTTGAATAGCGAATGTTCACACAAAGGAACGCAGCACCACAGTGAGCACTCAGTGCTGGTCCTATCCTGTGAAGACGATGAGAATCATTGGTGAACGCCAGCACAAATCTCTTCAATCTGCTTTCCCTAGCACTGTGTATGTTTAAAACAAGCATTCCCAAAACAAAGCCTTACACCGCATACATAATGAAGGTGCTTTGTACCTGGTCTAGATGCTGTGGGGATGCACAAAAAAAGAAGTGAGAGAGGAATCCTTCTCTCTAGTCATGGGGCTGGGTATGGTAACCCTAGTGGGTAGAAGGCATCCTTTCCATAGGGCTGAAAGGGCAGGGCAGAAGTTCCTGATCCTCCACGCTTGCCTCCCACCAGGGTATTAGTAAACAAGGAGACTCCTCTTGGGCAAGGTTCCCTCTAAGGTGCACGCATGCGCAGCTGTGCACAACTAAAAGTCTGGCCGTGCACAGCCTTTTCAAGATCACACACCAGGAGAGGAGCTGAAGGTCGGCTCCTAGGTGAGGTGGGGGCAGGAGCCTGGTGCGGGCTCCGCTGGCTCCAGGGAAGTGCTCCGCTCCCCTGCTTCGCCTCGGGGAGTCAGGAGGCACATGGCATCAGGGCCAGGGAGTGGAGCACTTCCCCAGAGCTGGCAGAGCCCATGCCAGCCCCCCGCTCCAGCCTCCATCCCTGCCTTGCCTCACCCTGGGGAGGAGCCACTGCCTGCCCCAAGTGAGGCTCCAGTGGCTCCAGGACACTGCTCCACTCCCCCGCATTGCCCTGGGGAGCGAGGAGGCATGTGGCATCAGAGCCGGGGAGCAGAGAAGTGTCCCAGAGCCAGCGGAGCCTCACTTGGGGCAGGCAGCAGCTCCTCCCCAAGGTGAGGCAAGACAGGGATGGAGGCTAGAGCAGAGGGCTGGCATGGGCTCTGCCAGATCCGGGGAAGTGCTCTACTCCCTGGTCCTGATGCGGGGGAGCGGAGAACTTCCCCGGAGCCAGCAGAGCCTGCGCCAGCCCCCGGCTCCAGCCTCCAGCCCCCAGCCTCTTGGCTCCAGTCCCCTGCCCCAGCCTCTTGGCTCCAGCCTCCGGCCCCCCGGCCCCAGACTCTCAGCTCCAGCCTCTGGCCCCCAGCTTCTCAGCTCCAGCCTCCAGGCCCCAGCCTCCAGCACCCAGCCCTCAACCCCCTTCAGTAAGCATCCCACACCAAACCAAGGCAATGTGCTCACGAACCAAGGCGGTGCACTCACGGACTGAGGCAGCGCGCTCACAGACCGCTACTCCTTAGAGGGAGCATTGCTCCTGGGCTAGTAGGTTTAAAGCTTTGTGCCCAGAGAGGAGAGTTGTGGTCTTCTCAGCCTGGTACCCAACAGCAAGGACAAGCCCCAGCTGCCCCGAGTAGCAAGAACAGTAACCAGATATGAAACGAAGTGCAGAAAGGATGCTTGATGATTCCTAAAGATTCATTGCCTAAAGGTCAGTATAAGGATGTAGCAAAAGAGGATTCATGTGAGAGAGAAAAGTATCTTCTTCAGGTGCACCCTGACCTGTGGATATGTTTCCTTGCACACTTGAGACAACATGCATTACTACTAGGTTCTGCTTGGAAGGCGAATGGGTGATAACCATGAACTTGAGGATACTTAATGATCCAGAAGTTACAAATGAGCCTGTGCAAAATAAAAAAATTAATAACAGACAGGTTTCTGCCACTTCTCACAGCAAACAGCTCCTAACTCTGCATTCTGAACTCAATAGGACTGCCAGAGTGGGAACAAAGGTGTCAGTCAGCATCTTATGCTGTTTGGCAGGTGACTGTGTGTTTTCTTTTCTAATTTTCAGTTCCTGATCTCAAGTGAAGTGTTTAGTGTTTGAAACTTGGATTCCTCATATGAAATATTGCTTTAATATTTTTTTAATATAATGGCTGTATTTAATACAAAGAGCAATAATAGCTTTATTTGGAGAGCTGACAAATCAAATGCGGAGTTCACTTAATGGTCAAAGAAAACTATTTTTCTGAATGTCAAATTCCTGGTTCCCATTCAAAGGTTGTACAAAATGTCCTGCCTAAACCTGTTTGCTTGAAACACACCTTTTAAAGAAAAGGAGTCTAAAGAATTTTGGCATATGATGAGAAAATACATTTCTGGATAAAATGGTAGTTGTTGCATTCAACTATTTCTTCCTTGTGTTGGCTGTGTGTGAATGGTGCTAATTCTTTATGTAAATCTTTGTCTTTCAGTAAAGAATAGCTCCAAATGAGACCTCAAAGGAGGCACAAGGATCAAATTTAGATAAAATCAAAAGTAAATAAACTAACTCTGTGGTTGGAACTTGAACCTTTTTTATAGGTGTATGATAACATGGGATTTATTTTCAACTTGAGCTAGTCAAGGAAAGTACCAGCCTTCCCCAAGTTCTCACTGGGTGTATCTACATGAGACATTTTACTAAGCAGTAGAGCAAATTACTGCTCAATTAGTGTCACCATCTACCTGTGCAGATGCTTACTAGGTAGTAAATTGCTCTACTCAGGAGTTAATTTGCTACCTGTAAATACAAGTAGCAAATTAACTCCCAAGTAGTTACTGTACAGTAACTACTTGGGAGTTAATTTGCTACCTGTAAATACAAGTAGCAAATTAACTCCCAAGTAGTTACTGTACAGTAACACATGTGTAGACACTGACCAGGAGCAAATTTCCTCCTAGTCAGCCCCCCCACCAGGGGCTACCCACAGCCGCAGGGCCACAGGGCTGGGAGCTTCTCCAGTGCTAGGGATGGGGTGGGTCCTGCTCTAGCTGGCCCAAGGCCAGCCACAGCAGCTTGCCCAGACCCTTTGCCTGCCCCAGCCCTTGGCCCTTAACAGTCTGCAAGTACACCAGGGCCATGGGCCATCTGCAGCCAGCCTCTGGCCACTGCATCTCCCAGCAGAGGCCCCAGGCCAGCCACAG